ATCAGAACATGGAAGAAAACTAAAATGCCGTCCCCCCTTCAGTTCCCCAGTCAGTGATAAGGGTGGATCTGGGGCTGCAGGGACAAGGGGTTGCTGAGGGTGGGCTGGCCTGGGTAGGTGGACATGGGAGGTACATGTGGCCCTAGAGCAGGGCCTCAAGACTAGCCAAGGATCCAGGCCCTCTGGTCAGCTGCCTCTGTTGAGCATCAACTGTGTGCTCGTCATCAGCCCATGATCCCATGTCCCCAGCCCAAAGATGCTGCACAGTCCCAAGCCACGGATAGACCTTAGGCTTCTCCCTACCCCAGGCCTCAGTTCCCCCATCTGCTTCCAGCTCTGAGACTCCTATAGTGGATGCCTGGATGCTGGTTGAGGGAGTCTGGCCCATGGTGGAAGACAGGAGGTGGTGGGGATGTGTACACACCTCTGCGGATGGTGGGCACTGCCCACTGAGTGCTGTTAGAGCACACACGGATTTACTCAGGCCTATGGGCCAGGCTGGTTCTCGTGCACACGTGTGTCCCTTTCAGAGGGATCAGGTACATGCACATGTGTGACTAGGTCCCTGTCTGCATGCGTGTGCCCAGGCATAGGTAATGGGGGCCAGGCCTTTCCATGATCTCCGGCTGACTCAGGCTCCTGCCTGCCTGCCCGCCTGGGTGAAGTCATCGCCTGTTTTTAGCTCCCTGAGGTCATTTGCCAGCAGGGGCTCTTGGTGCCTCAGGATCGCGCTACAGGGCTGCCTGGACTGGGTGTAGATGGGTGGTGCTGCAGGATTGTCAGGCCCTGTTGGAGGGCCCTGGCTCTCCTGGACACCCCATCTCCTCACCCTCCTGACTTCACTGTGTCAGAACCTCACTACAGATCGGAATGAAAAGAATAAGCTAGACCACAGAGTAGTATTGAGATCTGAAATGTGCTTCCCCCAATCCCAGCCAGGGAGTTGAAAGTGATAATGTATGCAAATGTATGCAAATTTACCGAGGGGCCATATCCCACTGGCAGTGTTGTGTCCTGGGCAACAGTCCTGGTCCCTCATGTCAGTCTTGCTTCTTGCCCCGCCCTGATACTTGCAACCACCAGGGCCAGCCAGACCCGAGGCCGCTCCGTGCCTGGCCCTCGGAAACCCAGCAGAGAGAATTCAGTCCCTGCCACACATCTGTTCCTGTACTTGCTAAATACAGATGGGGCACCCAAAGCCCCAGCAGTGACAGGCCATTCCTAAACCTTCTCCTGTTTCAGAACTGTCCTGGCTCCCCAGTGCCCTCCAAGAAGCGCTCAGGCCACCCTGCCTGGCAACCCATCCGCACGTCCCTACTCTGGGCCTCAGTTTACTTCTCTTTCCCAGGGGACAGTGTTCCTCCTTCCTGGCCAGGTCTCCAGTAGGGACTCCCCCTGCATCCCAAGACTAAGAAAGTGACAGTCAAGGCTGTGGCCCACAAGGGCTGAGGTGTGGCTAAAAGGCTTTGCAAAATTGCCTTCTGTGCAAAATCGTCTTCTATAAGGATGCCTGAAATCCCCCCATTAGCAGTTTGTGAAGTTCTGGGTAGAGCTTTTCCCCTTTGTCAGGCCTCAGTTTCCCTTTTATAAAATCACATGTGTTCTCCTGCTTGGGCTACATTCTGTGCTTCTTCCTTCCTGTGTCACCAGAGCCCGAGGGATGCACTTGTCCTATCATGATAATTTAGGCCCTTCCCTGGACCCCTGAAGAAGTCACAGGGACCCAGAACCTCAATACTACAAGCAGTTGGGGGGCTCAAGCATTCCTTCAGGACAGGACCCCGACCTGGGAAGATGTCACACCCTGAAGGCACCTCTGACTGCCTTTCCCTGCATAACTCCGAGCGAGACTCAGGGACAGGAGCTGAGTAGGGCTCTGATGCCAGGCAGATGCAGATGGGAGCTGCTGGTCTTCCTCGGCCTCAGCTCCATGCCTGCGCAGGCCTTAGGGGCCTGGGGCCCAGGCCAGGGACCCATCCTGTAAGGCCTGGGGCCTGGGCTGCAGAGCAGAGCCTGTGCTTCTGCTGGCCCTGGCTGTCCAGGAATGTGCTCTCCATTACCCACCCGCTGTGGCTTGGATTTCAGCCCCTGCCCACCATGGCCAGGTGCTGATCCTGAGACGTTGGTGCTGTGTGTGGAATTCATATGGTCAGAGACCCAGGGGTAGATCTTGGTCCCTGTGCCACACAGCACAGCAGGGGACTAGCCAGTTCTGCTAAGGGCTGGCCTGTCCTTTTTGAGCCTCAGTTTCCCCACTGGCCAGAGGGGACAGGGCCTTTGAAGAGCCTCTGTCCAGAGCCATCTTGCCTGGAATTCCACCATGGTCGTCCTCTGCAGGGATGATGGCGGGGAGAGGTTGGGGGTGGGGGGGAGCAGGTTGAGAATGAGGCAGGTGTTCAGGAGCAGTGGGCCAAGGTTGGGGAGACCTGGGGTGGTGAACAGGGAGGGGACACTGGTGTTCTTGTCAAGGGCAAGCCGGGCCCCCTTGGCCTGAACCCACTTCTTGGCCTGAACCCAGTCTCTGGGCTCTCAGGGTCTTAGTGATGGTAGGACTAGGCCTTGCCCACTCAACACCCTAAGAGTGTCTGAGCCGGAAGGAGTGTGAGGATATTTTGGTCCTCCGAGTGCACAAGGCATTCTGGGAGCTGGGTATTTCTGGTCTGCGAGGGTGTCTGGCTGGCCTTAGGGACAGGGGAGCCTCGGTGTGGCCACAGCGAGTTGGTGAACGCTACTGAAACTGCCCCTTAAGGCCTCTGTACTCAGCATTTGTGAGGTGGGGCAGGGAGGTGGCCCAGGACACCCGGAGGACATCCAGTGGGTCCTGCCTGGCCTTGGGCCCCCAGGAGCCTGCTGCAGTCAGGCCTCACTGCTAAGACACGGGACCTTTTCTGCCAGCTCAGCCCCAGGAGGCCCTGGAATGGGGCCCAGCCTCTGGGGACCCCCCCTTGAGATGGGGCAACAGGGCAAGGTCAGCCCCTCAGCGTTCAGAGGCAGGCACGTGCTGTCCTCACCAGCTGGGGCTGAAACAGGCCCTCCGGTCAGTGGGTTCCGAGGGTGGGGATGAAGTCATTCCTCGCATCCAGGCCAGCACCCACCTGCACTCTAGGGCAGGGTGAGCGTTGGGTCCGCCCACCGACACCCACACCCCTCACCCAGGAGCAGAGCCCGGGCAGCCAGGTCTCACTGGCCACAATGCCGGAGGCGCCGGAGGTGCTGGAGGAGACCGTGACGGTGGAGGAGGACCCCGGCACCCCCACCTCCCACGTGTCCATTGTCATGTCAGAAGATGGCACCACGCGGCGCACGGAGACCAAGGTATGGCTGGGCCCAAGTGCTTGGCAAGTGGGCTGTGGAGCCGCAGTTGTCCCGTGTGTAGAGTGGGCACATGCCCCAGCTTCCTAGAGGCCACTTGTTCGGGTGGACGACAGAGGCCACTCTGGCCCCGTGGGCAGTGTCTGGGCCTCTCAGGCTGCCCAGCCCATTGGCTGCCTACTTACTCACCAGGTCACCAAGATGGTCAAGACAGTGACTACACGCACCGTGCGCCAGGTGCCCATGGGCCCAGACGGCCTCCCCCTCCTGGATGGTGGCCCCCCGCTAGGACACTTCGGTGATGGCACCCTGGACCGGCACTTCCTGCTGCGTGGGGGTGGCCCGGCGGCCACGCTCTCTCGAACCTACCTCAGCAGTGGGAGTGGCTTTCCTGACAGCCCCGAGCCCCGGGACATCCCCAGCTATGGCAGCCTGTCCCGGGGGCTGGGTGTGCGGCCCCCACGTGGTGGCCCTCTTGGCCCCGGCCCTGGTGATGGCTGCTTCACGCTGCCTGGCCGCCGTGAAGCCTTCACCGAGGGCCCAGAACCTGTGCCGCCGGCCGGTCGCTCCCAGCCCGAGCGCTTCCAGGCAGAGCCATATGGCTTGGAAGACGACACACGCAGCCTGGCTGCCGATGACGGGGGTGGCCCGGAGCTGGAGCCTGACTATGGCACCGCCACGAGGAGGCGGCCTGATTGTGGGCGGGGCCTTCGCACTAGGTGAGCACCCTGTGCCCTGCCACCACCAACAGGGAGTCTGCCTTCCACTCGCCCAACAGAGAGTACCCCACAGGTAGTCTAGCTGCCCGGGCTAAATGAGTTCGTCACGCACACGTCAGTTTGAATTGGCCTCCATGCTTCTCAAGGACAGCAGGTGGAAGTGGAAGTTGCACTGGGTGCCTTCCCTGCAGGTCTGGGCATGAAAGAAGCTGGTCATAGTGCCCCTGCTCTAGGCAGGTGACCCTGAAGACAGGAACCCAAGAGGCTCAGCTTGAAGCCTCAGCCTCTCCCCGGGCCTCATGCACAGATGCAACTGGAACCCAAGAGCCCCACCTCCCCCCAGACCTTCTCAGAGTAACCTCTGGATCTGTTCCCTCTGCCCTCAGTTTCTCTATCTGTAGAATGGGAACATGACCACAACCTGGGTCAGGAGTATGTTACATGACCATGGGCAAGACACCTGGCTCCTCCTAACCTGAGTCCCTCTCCTGGGAAGTGGGTTTGATGGTAAAAACCCACAAGGACATCTGTGCCCTGGGGGACTGGTAGTCTGTATGCCCCTTAGATGGGCCCACCAGGATGGCCATATACAAAGAAGATCACCTCCCCCCACATCCTGGCACCAGGCAGAGACGGGCCTCATGGGATGGTGGGACTTCCCAGGCATGGGCAGATATTTCCTAGAAAGGCATTTAGCTCAGAATCAGGGGACACTGCCTGGTGACGGGAGTGAGTGAGCCCTCTCTGGGAGGGATGCAGCCCTGGTGACCATTGGCTGGGGTTGGTTCTGTCATTGGTTCTGAGTCGGTTCTTGCTGGGCTGGGGTGTGACTCTCAACACCCATGCGGTGCTTGGGGCCAAGTACCAACACTCCAGGCCCAGTCCCACCCTCAGTGGGTTCACGTTTCCCTGGAGGTCTGTTGGGGCAGCTCAGGGGTAGGGCGGGCAGCCGCTGAGAACGTGTTCGCGTGCCCTGTTCGTTTGCACAGGGCCTATGAGGACGTGGCCGATGATGGCGGTGAGCTGATGGAGGAGAGGCCCCCATTCCCGGCAACAGCAGCACCCCTGGCCCAGCCAGAACGGGGCAGCCTGGGCAGCCTGGACCGGATGGTGCGGCGCTCGCCCTCTGTCGACAGCGCCCGTAAAGAGCCACGCTGGCGGGACCCTGAGCTGCCCGAGGTACTGGCCATGCTGCGGCACCCCGTGGACCCCGTGAAGGCCAACGCAGCTGCCTACCTGCAGCACCTGTGCTTTGAGAACGAGGGTGTCAAGCGGCGTGTGAGGCAGCTGCGGGGGCTGCCCCTGCTCGTGGCTCTGCTGGACCACCCAAGGGCAGAGGTGCGGCGCCGGGCCTGTGGGGCACTGCGCAACCTCTCCTATGGCCGAGACACTGACAACAAGGCCGCCATCCGGGACTGTGGCGGCGTGCCCGCCCTGGTGCGCCTGCTGCGGGCCGCCCGGGACAATGAGGTCCGAGAGCTCGTCACAGGTGAGTGGCACCTGGCCGGCCCTGCATCCCCTGGGAAGAGACGAGAGTGAGGCTTGGCCCGGGAAAGCACCCCATGTAGTCAGGAGTCCCAGCTGCTGGGGGCAGGTGTCAGGCTTAGAAGCCATGAAAGGTCCCCAATCTTTACCTCTGACTTTGCTGCCACTGGTGGGGCTGCCACTGGGCCCCTCCCCACCCGGTCCGACTCCCAATGGCAGGGTCACATGACCACCTTTCCTTGTGGCCCCAGTCGTAGGCCTACCCACCCGTGTGGCTGGGAAGGGGTGGGGAAGAGAAGGCACCTGCTGTCTCCAGCCCCAGGCTCCTTGCTCTTGTCCCAGCCCCTTGGGCCCTCACCCCCTCCTCAGTGGGAGCCAGTGGTAGGTGCCATATGCCCCAGCCAGGAGGAGCATCCAGAGCCTGGAACAGCTTTTGTCATTTCCTACCTTCTGGCCTGAGCTGGGGCATGATGGATGGTGCGGCAGGTCCTGAGCAGTCACATGGGAGGCAGGGAGGCAGTGCCCATGGTCAGCACTGGCTGGTCAATGGTGCCCCACAGGCACACTCTGGAACCTGTCATCCTACGAGCCCCTGAAGATGGTCATCATTGACCATGGCCTACAGACACTGACCCACGAGGTCATTGTGCCCCATTCGGGCTGGGAGCGAGAGCCCAATGAGGACTCCAAGCCACGGGATGCCGAGTGGACGACTGTCTTCAAGAACACATCAGGCTGCTTGAGGTGGGGGTGGGGCCGGGCTCAGGCACCCCCTGAGCAGCCGCCCTGGGCTGTTCCTGGTCAAGGAGGCAGGAGCCGGGCACCAGAACCTGCATGCAAACAGCTATCCTGGGAGAGCCATGTCCTCCTGTCCCAGATAACCTGGAAGACAACTAGCTGCCCGAGTCTTAGGGATCAGCCCTGTCACAGTTCCTGTCCCAGTCCCGAGAATGGGGCCTCATGGGCTTATACTTACGCCCAAGGGCCGCCTCTGGACAAAGTCTGCCACCCTGTTGTGTGGTACCCCATGGCCCTGTTCATGCCCAGCTTCGACCCACTCTTCCATCATCATGACACCCAGGGAATGGGGAGCCAGGACCCTCCTCTTCAGTCTGCCTCAGAGGCCTCATCCCACCTCCTGTGACCTCTCCCCCACAACAGGAGGGCCTGCAGGGACCCCACAGGCAGTCCAGTGTCCCCACAGTCCTGACTATTTATCAAGATATGGCCCCATCCTATAGGATCCCGACCTTAGGAATAGGAGAGCTGCCATTGGGGCAGGGGGAAGCCAGAATGGTCTGTGCACAGATCCAGGCTTCTGGACCCACCTCTGTCCCTTTCCAATTGAACTGGGAGTCAGGAAAGCCTTTCCCCCCACCCCCGCCATGGAGATGCCAGGTTAGGGCCCCCTCCCCCGAAGGAAGGCCAGCCTCACCCCCTTCACTGCTGCAGGCTGGTGTCAGCTGCCGATCACCTCAACAGGGCAGTGTTAGTGTCCATTTGGTAGATGGAAACAAGCCCCCAAGGCCAGGTGGGGGCCCGGGGAGTCCCGGTGGGAGCCAGGGGTCACGGAGCTTGCTCTTGGCTACCCAGGAACGTGAGCTCAGATGGCGCAGAGGCCCGGCGGCGACTTCGGGAATGTGAAGGGCTGGTGGACGCGCTCCTGCATGCCCTTCAGTCAGCCGTGGGCAGGAAGGACACAGACAACAAGGTGGGCGGGGTGAGACACGGTGGTCCCAGCAGGTCCCCGTCAGGGGCAGACTCGGCCTCCCACAAAGGGTCAGGGAGATGGACCAGAAACGGGGCCCAGGGGGCTTGAAGCATATGGGTGGCACAGAGGGAACAGGCCCGCACGTCTGGGGCAGCACGGGCCACCCTGCAGTGACCATATTGTGCAGTGGGCCTGCCCCAAAGCCCAGATGAGGTCCTACAGGAAGTCGGTGCTCTACCCTTTTCCTCTCTTGGCCCCTGCCTGAGGGTTCTTGCCCGTGTGGGCCCCCTGTCTCAGGCCTCCATGGCCACACCCTCGGCCCTCTCAGAGGCTTAGCATCCCCCTGCCCACCCGGCCGTACCCCACCAGCTCTCTTCTCCCACAGTCGGTGGAGAACTGCGTATGCATCATGCGGAACCTGTCGTACCACGTGCACAAGGAGGTGCCCGGGGCCGACAGGTACCAGGAGGCCGAACCTGGGCCCCTGGGCAGTACTGTGGGCTCCCAGCACCGGAGGCGGGATGATGCTGGCTGCTTTGGTGGCAAGAAGACCAAAGGTATGTGGATGGGACGGGGTGGGGTACCACTTTAGAACCTCTTCCCTCCGCCACGCCCCCCCGCCCCCGCCGCACACACACAGGCTGAGGCTCTCTATACCTATGGCGTTCATGGCAAGTGGGGAAGCAGGGAGCCAAGGTGGGTGGGCCACCCTGGGATACCCATCCAACAGGCCCAGCCTTCACCCCTCTGCACTGTGGTGACCGCAGGGGAGGGTAGGAGAGAACCCATGTGGCGGGCCTAGTCCCTTAGCTCTAGGGAGGGTTCTATGGGCCCAAGTTTGGAAAGCGCCGAAGATGATGCCACCTTCTGGCATTGATAGAGCACCTACCTGAAGACCCTGAGAAATCCTGGGGGCAGCACTCCGCTCCACCTTCAGGGTGCAGGTTCCAACATCACCCGGCAGCTGCTGGAATCTGTGGATCACCTTCACCTGTCCCACCAGTGTGGGCATTTGCTGACCCCTTTGCTGTCCTACTTGTGGGCACTCAACCCCCAAGAGTAATTGGGGTGAGATTCCTCATGCCACCTGTTTAACCCAGGGTGTGCAGTGGGAAGTTGAGGCTTCCTGGGAGGGCACAGGGTGGGGGGTGCTGCCCGCTCAGGCTCATCTCCTTTCTCCTGTGCTTCCTCCGGCCGCCCAGAGGACTGGTTCCATCAAGGTGAGTCCCTGTTTTCCTGCCATCCAGGCCTGGCGAGTGCAGTGGGCACCATGGAGGCACAGCCCCCTCCCTTACTGCTCAGGCAGTGGTCTTCTAAACGGCAGGGCTTTCCAGCCTCAAGGTCCTGCCCCACCCCCAGTCCCTTCTCTGGGCAGCCATCTCCATGACAACCGCAGGAATGTCAGCCCTGCACTAATTTGGAGGCTAAGGGGCTGTCCCTCTGTAACCTCAGACTTTGCTCCCCAGGCAGGGCTGGGCCTGGAGCTAGGACTGGGGCAGAGCTGATGTCCTCAAGGCCTGGGGGTGTCTCTCCAGTGGAATGGGGCATGTGTGGCTCACACAGGGACCACATAAAGGCCCCAGAAGGCCAGGGATGGTGGGGGTCCCAGGTCATCTAAACCAGCGGTTGCCAACCGGTGGTCCGCAGACCACTGGTGGTCCCTGAGGTCCGAAAGGTTGGTGACCGCTGGTTTAAGGAAACCTTTGGAGCAGTGGTCGCCAACCAGTGGTCCCTGAGGTCCGAAAGGTTGGTGACTGCTTAAACTCAGCTCTGCTGCTTTCCAAAGGAGAAACTCCTTCATCTGAGGTGGGGATGATAGCCAGGAGGTGGCGATGCACCCAGAGGTGTACAGGTCGAGGCTGACAGGTGTTAGGTGGAGCTGCTGCAGGGGCTTGGCCTGTGAGCAGGGTTCTCCTGACCAACAGAGCCTGGGACCGGGTCTAGGCCCCAGACGGGCAAGTTTCCCCCTGGGTAGGACTCATTGGCCCCAGCCCTGCCTTGTATAGCCAGGCATGTCCGGTCCCTGCCAGGCCTCGGCTTCCCTGTGTGCACCTACCCACCACCCAGCCACCGAATCCCTCAGTTCACACACCTGGCAGCCACAAGGAGGCCACTGGGCAGGTCTGCAGTGCAGCTCCCAGCACCTGGTGGGAGATGAGTCCTGGCTGGGACATCCCTAGGCCCTGCTGCTAACACTGCCCCCCTGGCCTCTTGGTGCCTCGTCCTGGACATGGGGGTGCTTTCTGGGCTCTAGGCAGAAAAGTGCTGTGCCCAGTCCTCGTGACACACACCTTCCCCCCACGGGGTCCACCTCACCTCCCACTGTTCTTCTGTTCCAGGGAGGAAGGATGGAGAGATGGACCGAAACTTTGACACGTTGGACCTGCCCAAGAGAACGGAGGCCGCCAAAGGTGAGTGGGTGGAGGTAGAGTCCAGGCTTGGGACTGTCCAGTAGTGAAGCTTTGTGCCACTAAGGAGGCCTGAAGGGCCTTGCGGATCCAGTATGGACATGGGCCCACAGGTGTGGCGTTCCCCGGAGGACCACCTAGTCCAGTGATGGCGAACCTGTGACACGCGTGTCAGAGGTGACACGCAAACTCATTTTTTTGGTTGATTTTTCTTTGTTAAATGGCATTTAAATATATAAAATAAATATAAAAAATATAAGTCTTTGTTTTACTGTGGTTGCAAATATCAGAAAATTTCTATATGTGACACGGCACCAGAGTTAAGTTAGGGTTTTTCAAAATGCTGACACGCCGAGCTCAAAAGGTTCGCCATCACTGACCTAGTCCCTGGGCACCAGCAGAGGGTTAGAATCGGAGTCAGTGCCACAGGTCACCAGGATGGGGGGATAGAGGCCAGGCTCTTGCTGCTGGGTCTCAGCTTTGGAGCGAGGCCCTCAGTGAAGGGCAGGGGCTGGCTGGCAAGGCCTCTAGTGTCAGGTTCGCTCCGAGTGTTTTGGGTACCAGGACGGTACAGTCAGATTCAGTACGGAGGCTGCGCCAGATCAGCCTGATTCATACAGGGGCAGAGTGGTTTGTGCTTCTAGTCCCGCATCTGTTGGAACCCTGCTGGGTGCTGGCATTGTTCTGTGCAATGGGAATCCAGCCTGAGTGAGAGAGATTCCAGGCCACAGCCCACAGCCCACCCTGCGAGCCCAGATGCTCCCAAGCAGAATGAAAGGGACCAGCCACAGGAGATCTGGGGGGGACACCACAGGCTGAGGAATCAGCCTGGGCCAACACCTCAGGGGGCCACGTGTTTGGGGAATTGGAAGCCCAGCTAGGCTGGGGTGGAGGGAGCATAGGACATGAGGACTAGGGAGGGAGTCAGGGGACAGGGAGGTAATGTCCAGGAACAGGCAGAAGCCCCGGTGTGGGTACAGTAGCCTTGGCAACTGCTCAGCCCCTCATCTCTGAAACACTGGCGAGTGCTGCTGCCAGGCCTGGACCTCTTGGAGGGATGGGCCCTGTTGCTAAGGGCATGACCCTGGTAACAGAGCCTCAGTTATATACGGGAGCTGGGCCCTGTTGCTAGGGGAGGTGGGTCTTGTCGCTAGGCCTCACCCTCCAGTTGCACAGCCCCTGTTAGCTACTGGGAGGATGGGTTTTGTTGCTAGGGAGTTTGAGTCCTGTTGCTAGGGGAGAGGCCCTGGTTGCCACCTTCTCTCCACTGGTAGGCCTCCCTGAGCCTCTCGATTCCTCTGTGAAGTGGGACTGCTTTTTCACTTTTTATCGTGGTGCACGTAACATTGCACCACACCCATCCCTGGTCCCAGCTCAGCCTTGCCCTGGGAGGAGGAGGAGGGAGAGGCGGTGATGTGGGGCGGTCTGGGCGACCGTAGGCAGCTGGTGCTCTGTGCCCAGGCTTTGAGTTGCTGTACCAGCCCGAGGTGGTGCGTCTCTACCTCTCACTCCTCACGGAGAGCCGGAACTTCAACACCCTGGAGGCTGCGGCTGGTGCCCTACAGAACCTCAGTGCTGGCAACTGGATGGTGAGAGGCCATGTCTGGCAGGGAGGGGCCAGAGAGGGAACCCCCGTGTCTCTGTTGGTGCCTACTCCTGCCTTTGGCCAGGCAGGGGGAGGGGAGGAGCCTCCCCAAGGTCAGGGGTTCTGGGCACTAGGGCTGCAAGCAGTGTGCCCTGGGTGGTGGGTGTGGAGGCGTCTGGTGGAGGGAGAGTTGTGCCCTGGTGTAAGGCTTTGTCAGGAGCACAGTCCAGCTGAAGGAGTGGTCAGGGCTCAGGTGGGAGAGTCCATCCTGTGTGGGGTGCTACTCCATGTGCTGAGTGTGCTCCGCCTTCTCTGCTGCCACAGTGGGCCACCTACATTCGCGCCACCGTGCGCAAGGAGCGCGGTCTGCCGGTGCTGGTGGAGCTGCTGCAGTCCGAGACCGACAAGGTGGTGCGTGCTGTCGCCATTGCCTTGCGGAACCTTTCGCTGGACCGACGCACAAGGACCTCATCGGTGAGGACACTGGGTGGGAACCGGATGGACGGGCCCTCGGGGTCCTAACGTAGGGGGC